GTGGTATGGAAGGGGGTCACCAGCATCCTGTGTGGTATGGAAGGGAGGTCACCAGCATCCAGTGTGGGATGGAGGGAAGGTCACCAGCATCCAGTATGGGATAGAAGGTACCTCCACACTGACCTTGATAATCACTTACCAGGAAGAGCCACAATAGAAGTTTGGCACATTAATGGACTCTCCCTGTACACATCTGGGTGACTTATCTGGCCCAGGTCTTAGGGACATTTTCCCAAACACTCCATTTAGTAGGAGTCTTTGCAGGAAATAGGCTACAATCAGAATCCTAAGCTATTTTAGAAATACACACAAGCTCTAGGCTAAGAGAAAATTATTAGAACGACAATTCCCAGGAAGCATCTTCCAGTTGCAGGAGCAGTTTGAACCAATATTTAGCAAATTTGAGGTTCGGGGTACAAGTTATCGCTTTCTTGCAGTAGCTCTAACCTTTAGATGTACTATCTGGGAAGGACACAGCCACAGGTGTGTGAATACATGCCACCAACACTCACACCAACATGCCTTCTGGACAAGCTCTGCCTTAGCCACGATATTGTTAAACACGTGCATCTAAGATGCCTCTGACCATGAGAGAACAAGGGAATCATCACAGCACAGAAAATCTCACACACAGGTTTGACCACGCCCCTCTGTGGACAGTGTGAATGAAGAAGGTATGACAATATCTACAACGGCAGCTTTGGGTTCCACAAATCACGAGGTATCTTTCTCAAGACAAAAAATACTTCTACTCCAAACAAACAACAACAAAAAAAATCCATGCAAAGGGCTTACAATTCTCTTTAAAATACCCACCTACTGCAGTATGCACGCCCTTCCCTGGCAACCATTGAAAAGTCATCATTTCCCATGATTTTAAGAGTTTTCCTTTTTCCGTCCAGAGAATGACTTAGGCCTTTGCAAATGTAAACATCGTTTACAGGCAGAAAGTCATGAAAATAAATAGATGAGCTGGAAAAGTTAACAAGCCAAAAGCTTACATTACGTTTGTTTTTTAACCTAAATTACACGCTTCATAGGAAGCTCTGATCTGGCACACATACAATGTTCTTTCTGGATTAAAAAAAAAGTGTCTTGCTTTTGTTTCCTACCTCCTAAAATATATCAGAGTCTTAAATCTAATCACTATTTTTCTGAGATATGACAATGTAATATTTTCACAGCATTTTCCTATGGCAAGTATAAATAAATATGAAATTGTCATGAAAAAATACACTTGTAAGACAAGTGGTAAGGATTCTGACTCTAAATTAACATTACCCCAGGGAATAATGCTTGGGGAAAATGAGCATTAAATATTTGTTGGGACAAGTTTAATGAAAAAAGTATGTCTGTGCAAGACAGCATTTCTCTAGGCGTACATATTCTCCCAAATGATTCTTTGTTTTCACTCACAACACAGAGTTTCCTTTGTCAGGACTCACCCTCTGGTGCCTCTTCCAGATCGGTGGTCCTCAGCAGAGTCCCTCGGCATTGCTTAATTCACCCTAAACTTCTCAGTTCACAGGACTGTTTCAAAGTAGAGGCACTGCTGATCTCCTGAGATGAACTTGATGGGTCTCATGTTCCCAGACAGACCTCTGGCTACCCATAAGAACAGACTTGAAAAGCCACCCCCCTCCACCCCACTTAGAAGAGGTGCCTGTCCATGAAGGTTCAATGGAACAAAATCCACTATTCTGCACCACAAGTGTATTTCAAAACACACAGCCTAGAATATTGGCTCTCCTCTCAAAACTAAAGGGAAAAAAAAAGAACTTTTCCCCTAAATTAACTGCCTTCAAAATGTAGATTTTTCTTCACTGTTTTACAGAACTGGCCTTATTCCATGGAAATCTGAACATATTTGTAGAATGCTATTGGACTCTCACTCCTTGAAAGACACAAACTGTACAGAATTTTCTTTTGTTTCAGAAATACAATTATAAAATGAAGCAAAATTGGAAAACAATCTTTGGTGGACCCAGGAGTTCCTAAACACAGTACTTTAACAGCCGTGGAATGTAGTTAGAATGATATGGATTGTTGTCAGGAGAACAAGCTGCCATGTTTCATGGTAGTTCACTGTATCCTCTTCTCTCTAACCCCCATGGGAGCTGGGGGACAGGAGGCCCCAGTGAACCTTCACACGTGGGTGCAGTTGGTGGATGGCGGGGTGTCTGCTCGGCTCCTGTTTTCTTTGGTATCACTGGGGAGTGATTCCTTGCGAATATGGCACTTGAACACTTGCTTGTATGCCTTCCGGAAGTTTTCCGAGAGAAAGGCATATATGATGGGGTTCACGGAGGAGTTGCTGTATGCCAGGCAGTGGGCAGTGATCCTGAAGAAGAAGGAAGCTTGGGTCAGCGGGAACGCTCCGAACTCAGCCCAGAGGTGGACGACGTGATGGGGCAACCAGGATATGCCAAAAACCACAACCACCACCAGGACTGTCTGTGCGGTCTGGAAGAGAAGAGTAATGGTAGAGGGTTGAAGAAGAGACAGGTGCTGCATGAATACACCAGTTACATCAGAAGAACACAGCACCATACAATACACCCCAATGGCAGTCCTATGTACTTCAATGGGATCAAATAAAGGGTTAAATTTGACCTCATGTAACACCTCTGTTCATCATCTCAAGACCTTACAGGGTCCTGCCTCCTAGGCGTGTATTCAGTACATGTGAAATGTGGTAAGGTATGAAATTAGAAAGGTTAGGAATAAGATTAAGGACTGTCATTCCAACTAGCAAAATTCTTCCAGCAGCCAAGAGATCCGGAGCAGGATCTGAACCAGAGTTCTGAACCAGTGTCCCCTAAATACAAGACCCTGACTCACAGAACAAAACAACAGAACAGCAAGTCTCTTCCAGTGGGCACACGCCAAGTTTCATTAAGAGCCTGGAGCTCAGACGAACACTGACACAAACGAGTGGAAGATGTTGGTTTCTCCTCATTAGGTATTTACTGAAGACAGGATGGAGACTGGGAAACTAACAGTCTCACAGAGTCATTCCAAGTGCAGCCTGTAGACCAGTCGGAACTATTGCTTGCTAGCTTAACTTTGACCACACTCCTGTTGCTCCTAAGTCAACAACACTCAGAAATTCTGGGCAGGGTCTCCATGTTTCTTAATGATTCCTACTGAACAGACAACAGGAGAAAACTGTGTTGTTGTTTGTTTTTGCTCTTTTGGGGGGCCCGCCACTCAGCTCCCAAATAAATCATATATGGAGGCTTATTCTTAATTATAAATGCTCGGCCTTTGCTTGGCTTGTTTCTAGCCAGCTTCCCTTAAGTTATCCTGTCTACCTTTGGCCTCTGAGATTTTCCCGCTCTCTTACATCTATAAATCTTACTCTTACTCCATGTTGGCTGTGTGGCCAGGTGTCTGGCCCCTGGAATCCTCCTCCTTCTCTGGCTACTTCTTCCTGTCCCTCTCACCCCAGATTTCTCCTTCTATATATTCTTTCTGCCTGCTAGCCCTTCCTATCCTTTCTCCTGCCTTGCTATTGACCGATTCAGTTCTTTATCAGATCATCAGATGTTTTAGACAGGCAAAGTATCACAGCTTCATAGTCAAACAAAGGCAACATAAACACAAGCAACACATCTTAAAATAATATTCTACAACAAAACTGTCATTTTGTGATCTCAACACAAGGGAACACATACTGACGGAACCATGTACTGTGCATGGGCAAGGCCTCCCAACTGGCCACCCATCTAGAAAGCAGGGCAAACCTCAGAAGACCTTTTGTAGAAGACTCTGCTGATAGGAATGTAGTTCATGGCAGGACTTCCTCTACTGCTTCTCATAAAAGGGGATCCTATTGTTCTATGTAATATAGAATTATATTAAGTCTGAAATATAGTACATGGTGTCAACACCTCCAGGACTGATTCTTGGCAATGAGCTAAGAGAGCAGCAGAAGGTTCATCACTGAGGAGGGTTAAAAACAAGTAGGAATGACCAGACTTCTGATCTAGAAGGTAGGGAAGGGACTAGCTGGATTTCAGGTCAAGAACAGCAAATACTAGGAGGCATGAGGGACAGGAGAGGAAAGCTAAACTCACTATCAAGAGATGTCATGGGTTTTGCAAGACATACTGGCCAGATAGTAGGTCTGTTGATCATCTTTGGAGATGACAAAACCACCCCACAAGACTTGATTTCTTCGTTAATGAAGAAAATCAATGAACGAAATGATTCTCAGATTTTGCCTGGATCATGTGAGCACTAAACCAGCTCATCTATTAAAAACTCACAGGCAGGTGTTACAAAGTGAAAGCTTGCCTATTAAGTCCACTTACAGCCTGGGCTACAGAGCAAACGTAATTAGCTCACATATATTAAGGAAGTGTTTGCTATCAATCCATTTGCCCATTAGTGTGTGAGAACTGCCACTCTCTGGTGATTTTGTCAAACAATCTAGAAATGATTATATCCACAACACAGGAGAAGATAGCTTCCTCCATCAAAGATGATCAGTCCATCTCTCTACAAAAGTACCACCCTGTCAACAATGCACGTCATTGCTTCTTTTAGGAAACACGGGCTAAGTGCAAAGCTAAGAGCAGATCTACACCTTGGCAGCCTACAGGTAAGATTCATATCTTATCAAGATCTGAAATGCAAATGGCTGTGTGCCCTGAGTATGCAGTAGTTTTTATGGCAGCTGTTTCTCTGAGCATCTGTGATTTACCCAAACGTGACCTCTAAATGTTTGCAATCCCTCGGCTTTTCTCAGAAATGTGCCTATGAGCCAGGTTCTTTTTTCGTGGTCAACTGGCAGCTTTGAATGCAAGTACCTAATACTTTATGATACAGATATTAGGAACAAATACTAGATTCATATCCATATGAACTATCATCTACCCAAGGCTGCTCCTGTGAGAGCTAGAATGCTTCTGAGCACCACAACAGTCCAGCTGGGAATCTCAGAGAAGCTACACTCTCTCCTGTGTGTCTCTTTAAGCACCAAAGTCCACCTGAGTTGATGTTCTTAGCTGTCTCACGTGTCTGTGTCCTTCATACAAGCCCTGGGCCCTGGTTCCAGTCTTTGAGTTCACTCCACTTCAGCCACAGTAGTATGAAAAGCCAGATGTTCCCCAAGAGTGGGTGTTACTTTCCTATCCTCCTCCTCCTCCTCTACCTCCTCCTTCTCCATTATTTTTATTTATTTATTTATTGTTCATTCAAGAAACGCTAGTGGAGCTGGAAAGAGCAGAATTGAGCAGGTAGAAACTCTGCCCTGATTAGAAACTATCCTTCTTGATGGATGACAGCTCCTCGAGTATATAACTCAAAAAGCAACATCTAGAATACATCAGCTCAAAGTTAAAGATCTATTCAGAATAATGGATGTGTTCTAATCCCAGCCCCTGGACTGTGGTAGGTCAGTGTGCCCATCATTACCCAAGAGCACTCTGGGCCCTGTCACTATGACTGACTCAGTGGATAATAGTTATCAGATAGTTACCTTGGAATCTGCCTCTTTGCAAAGCCCAGAAGCTTTTGTGAATCCCTGATGAACTGCATAAAAGCCACAATAAAACTGGTGTTATCCTGTGGACCTTAAGTGAAAGCAATTAAAGAGGTTTCACTTGATCCTGACAGCTCCCACGGCAGAAGCGTGTCTGCTCATAGACAAGGCAAGGACAGCTGCCTCTGTTGTATCCCTCTGAGTATCAGAATGTAACATGGACTCCCCTGCATGGGAAGCGCGAGGCTGCAACAGAGACACTGCTCTGCATGAAAAAAGGAGGGTTTTCATCTTCATTTCCAACACTGTGTCCCTGTTTCTTACAAAACCGTTTGTCTTTACCAGGGATGGTGTGATAGTCAGCATATACATTACTGACATCATTCACTCATTTGGAGCACAGAACCCTGACTACCTTTGACAGAGGAGCGGTATACACACTTGAGATATGACCCTTTATTAGCATGGTTTCTCTTTCTTCCTTACACTGGACCCATCTTAAAAAAAAATAGTCTCCCTTGAGTAGTAAGTTGATCTCTTCAAGGAGTCTGAGACGCCTGCCTTTTCTTCAAAGTCTCACTCACAATGTGTCTCACAGAACTGGGCTGGGGCCGAAAGAATGAACACACAAGGTGAGGACATGAAAAGCCCCATGAAAGCGGTGTCAGCGACAGCCAGAAAGCTCACTGGGCAAGCCAGGAATCAGAAAATAACGACAAAAATGCTTCTGTTGAAAGAGCCCCGAAGTTCATAGGACGTCAGTGGACCTTCGACAAGGTTTCCCCTGAGCACCTACCCGATATGGTGCCTAGCTCATCCTCCCTGTGGTACCTAAGGCTCTTCTCTCAGGCCAGCCAGCTTCAAGCCAGAAGCATCTCTTCCTGCCTAGTAGTGCTTAAGCAAAATCCTTAATAGGTTATTAAGCTTTTAATTATTACTGCAGGGCTGGAGAAATGGCTCCGTGGTTAAGAGCACCAGCTGCTCTTCCAGAGGACCGATGATCAATTCTAATACCCATATGGCAGCCCACAACTCTCAGTACAGTCCCAGGAGAGCCAAAACCCTCTTCCGGCCTTGAAAGGCACTGCACACGTATGCTGCACAGGTATACACACAGGAAAATGCCTGTGCAGAATACATACACATTTAAAAAAAAAAAAAAAGAAGTCAATTGTTCCTGACTGAAAAGAAATCTTATCTTCTTCCTGCATTTTCCACCATACGTAAATAGTTGTCCAATGTGCCCATCACAAAGGGTTGCCCTTCATAACAGTGATAGAACTCACAGAGAAAGCTCTGTCTGATGATGTGACTGGGTACATCTCCCGGACTCATGGGTTGAAATTTGATCACCAAGATGATGGTATCTAGAGGTCAGCCCATTGAGAGAGGATGAGGCTATGAAGGAAAGGCCCTTCATAGTGGGGTCATTGTCCTTATAAAAGAGCCCAGAGTGCCACCCACTCCATCCAGCATTGGTGGATGCAAAGAGAAGGCTGGGGCCAAAAATCTACCAGAGCTTGACCTTGGTCTTCCAGCCTCCAGAACTGTAGGAAATAGATTCCTACTGTTTATAAGCTACACACTGTGGGATATTTTGTCCTTGTCACATTAACAAATGAGTACAGCACATGGACAGAAAACTGCTAAGCCACTGAGTAGGCCTGGAAATAAATATTATCAAAATGAGCATATTACTAAAATCTCTACTCCACTGACCCATTCTCCATGGGAACCCATTTCCCATCAATCCATGACTGTGGTTTGGATGTGCAATGTCCTCTAAGCAAGGCTCACGGGTTTGAAGCCTTGGTCCCCAGCTGAGGATGGGCCTTGAGGTAGGGCCCAACTGCAAGAAGTCAGTCACTGGGGGGCAGACACTGAGGTGTCCCAGCTCAGCACCACTTCCTGCCCCTCTCTGACTTCTGAATGATGACACAATGTGACCAGTCACCTCACGCTTCTGCCACCATGCCTGAACTCTCAGCCCAAACAATCCTTCCTCCCTTGAATCACTTCCTTTTGGATATTTGATGACAATAACAAGGTAAGCCGTACAGCCATTGACCATCAAGATGTGTCTTACATCAGCCTCCATCAGAGTCCCACACCGTCCCTCATATAGTCAGCATTGAGCATGGGTGCCCTGATGACCTGTGCTGAGATGCAGAAGGGTCCGTGGTGGAATGTCACAGGCTGCGCTGCTCTCTGCCAGGATGGCTCTTTTCTACCTCAGCCTCTTACTGCTCCTCTGTCTTCCTTCTCCTCGTCACCTTGCTTCTCTTGCCCTCTCTGTTGCTCCCCCTCCCAAGCAGCTCTTTCCTACCTCTTTCATATACACACACACCCCACAGTCCTGTGTGTTTGTTCTATGCAAACAAAAAGGCAATTAAATCTGCCAGATGAGCTCCGACATCTGTTCAGCAGCCATGAGGGGTTAGAGTCTGAGAAGGGAGGAGAAACATCTCCCTTCTCATTGCTCAAACTTTCTTCCTCATGGAGTGGGAATGAGCAAAAGAAGATTTTATATAAATGGGTATTCATTTTACATGTGCACATGCTTACAAAATGGCCATTTATTCTACGTTATGAAATAAAAGTGAGGTTTTCCTCGTCTTCTCTTACAAGGGATTGCTTGCATCATCCCTTTAAACACATTCTTCTTTCTGGGACCTTTTTAGCTTCCCATCAACATCTCTTCAAAGACAAGGATGCGAATAAGTGAATGTTTCTCTAAGAAGAGTAGTTGCATCTTCTCAATCAGAATAAACTTGTTCTTGTTTTATAGTCATAGGAATTAAACCTCAGGCCTCATGCGTGTCAGGGATAGGCTCTACCATGAAATTGCATCCCGGCCCTTTTCAATTTACTTTGTATTTTTTTGACAAATTGTGTCTTGCTAAGTGACTCAGATTTGCCTTGAACTCCAGATTTGGTATCCTCCTATCTCAGCTCTCCAAGTAGCTGAGATTAGAGGATTTCACCACCTGGCTTAAATCTTTTGAATTAATACTAAAAATTTAGCATATTTGGAAGGTATCTCCCTCACTGTTAAATCCCAATAAGCCCTTCTTCTCTAGTCTCTCTCTCTCTCTCTCTCTCTCTCTCTCTCTCTCTCTCTCTCTCTCTCTCTGTGTGTGTGTGTGTGTGTACCTGTGCATGCATGCCCACACGCACACAAGCATAGGTCACAGTTGTGAGCACATGCTTGTGGAAGCCAGAGGACAACATCAGGTATCTTTCCTCAGGAACAGTTCACCTTGTTTTTTTCTTAAGCAGGGTCTTTCACCGGCCTGTAACTTACTGACTAGGCTGGAATGCTGGCCAGGGAGCCCTAAGGATCTGCCTGTCTCTGCCTTACCAGTTCTGAGATCACAAGGGCACACCACCAGGTCCAACTTTTCTTTTCTTTTCTCTTTTAGATATGTTTGTTTGCTTAATGAATATGAATGTTCTATCTGCATGTACGGCTTTATGTCAGAAGAGGCCATCAGATTCTAGGAAAAATGGTTGTGAGCCACCATGTGATTGCTGATAACTGAACTCAGGACCTCTGGAAGAGCAGCTGAGTGCTCTTAACCCCTGGGCCATCTCTCCAGCCCTCTTCTTTTCCTTTAAACATGGATTCTGGAGATCAAACTCGGTTTCTCCTGCTTGCATGACAAGCATTTTATTAAATGAGTTATCGCCCCAGCTCCCTGAAGGACGTTACTCTCCAAACACTTACCCTACTGAACATCTTTGGACATCCATGCTTTTCTCTTGATGCTGGCTCCCAAAGGAAGCCAATTCCTTCCAGAAACCAGGGCTCAGCTTGTTCCTGCACAGTACCTACACTCTATGAAGAACCTCCCAAGGAAAAATTCCACCAGGTCCTTAATTGTTCTTAAGGACTCATTTTCTTAGAGGTGAGAAGCGGTGCTTCAAGAAAAAAACTAATAGATTAAGAGAATGTGGAAGCTGCGTTAAAATACAGAATTGGTAGCAGCAGAGGATTCAGGGCTGATTCTTGCCGTAGAATTCATACTTTATCAATTGTTATAAAGAAAAATCTGCAAGATTAACACTAAACCCAACTAATGACTGCTGGGATGGAAGGAAGGGCTGGGGCAGAAGGCTGAGGCAGTCATTTATTCTTAGGGAGCTGGTAACGTAAGTGTGTGTGTGTGTGTGTGTGTGTGTGTATTATGGTATCCCAAATGGGAGTTATTTTGAGCTGCTGAGAAGAAAGGCATCTCTTTGGGAGGCAGAAGCAGGAGGATCACTGCAAGTTCAAGGATAGTCTGTTCTTCATCACAGGCTCCAGGACAGCTAGAGTTGCATGGCAAGACTGTCTACAAACTCTTGGGGCTGTGTTAGGGGAGTGGGACTCCTCCACGTTGACGTGGATAAACAGGGAAGTCAGAGCAGGTTCTTCTTTACTTAAGTCAAAACTTTTAGAGTAAATATGATTATCTGAATGATAATTTACTATATATATAATTGATCAGAGTAATTATTTAGAAAGAAAAACAAGGTATTTTAAGATATTATTGGTAATGTGTGTGGGTTAAAATGTCTGGTTATCCTCCCTCTAATCAAATTTACCTAATAATTTCATTCCACTGTCTAAACCTAGAAATCACATGGATTTCATCTGAGGAAAAGATAAATTAATCCTGGCATGTAAAACAGCTTTTCCTCAATGAATGAAAGTGCAGTGAATCCCAGAGGGTGGAAGCTTTAACTTGACTCAGCAGAAGGCATTAAACGGGAGTCCCTGCATGAAGAAAACAGTTAAAGAGGGGTAGGACCCCAGCAAGTTTTCCTTCTGGCCCCTCTGTGCCAAATCAGCTTAAGTCCAGGGAAGAGCTAAGGCTACTGACTCTGCTCTTGGGGCTGAAGAGAGCAACACACGGACGCTTTCACAGACGAGAATCCAACTGATAGCTTCGCATCATGCTTAAGATGTTGTTTGCTGAACATGCAAATTACATCACAAGGCCCTCTGTGCTCTCCCAGGACGTAGGTCCGACCTCTGGAAGTCTGTCTTTCCTGGCCTCCACACTTTGTCCAACACAGCTGAACGGTGGTTGCCTGCCACACCTCTCCCTGGCCTGACTTCTTCTCCACCCGACCCCCTTAACAGTCACAGTTCACAAAAGTGTCCATCTCGGACAACTGGTTTTCAACCTGTGAGTGGATGTGAAGATAATTTAAAGCAAAAACAAGCTAAGCTCTCAAAACTCGACAGACGTGGCATCTGTTTGTGAATCTTACCTTTTTCTTGGATGCTTCTGACTTTTTTGACATGTTCTTCAACTTCTTATGCAGATGATTAAGGACCTGCAAAAGGAAGACAGATAGAACAAATTCACCTCATGCTTACTTACACTTTGTCTCTTTTCCAGTGGCAACCACTGAACATTCTGGTATGATAATACTGCTGTTTATAAAACAATAAAAATAGAAGGGCATCTTAGATTAAAAAAAAAAAACAAAAAAACAGCCCTGAATGAAGCCGCTAAATATGTTCAGAGGTATCCCTGGATGACGGACCATACCCAGACATGGATAGAGTCACAGAGAATGCTAGCATGCTCAGAGTTTCTTGGAGAAAGAGCCTCACCTGGGGTGGGGGTGGGGCTTACTACTGCAGTCCACTGCTCTACCTGCCTTAGTTCTTTCTGCCCAAGAGTCTACATGCCTACAGGCACCAGGCCCTACTCTAAATGGGGCACAAGGAGAGCTCAGAGACGCGTTGAAAACTAGAGTCCCGGGCTGTGGGAGTTCATGATGCAGTAGAGAAAACCAAGTGAACAAGGAAGAGACCACAGCCTGACAGTTACTCTGTGTGGCTCCCCAGATCTGCACCGGTTTCTGGGGCTTGCTACGAACCCCACCCATTACAAATCTCCTAGAGCAAAGCGCAAGCCAGCAAAGCTCATCCTTTTTCATATAGTTCAAACACTGTGTGGTCCTCAGACAGTCCCTTTTAGGAATTTGGCATCACTGGTGATTGCAGGTTTTACCCTTACCATACCTGTCAGGGAGATGAGCTAACTTTAATAAATTGAGAAGCCATTCTGTGCTCTTGCCACTGTCCTATTTGGGAGAAAGGATGTGAATGTGGTTGTTGCTGTTACACACAGGAATTCACAATCTGAACTTGCTCCACCGCTGGCTACCCTGCAGAGCTGGTCCCAGGTTTGTTTTCTAATCTGATGGAATAAATTGAATAAATGGCAAAGGGCTTGAAGTGGTCTGTGGGTTTCTGAAGAGGCTCTCAGGACATGGAGGCATGTTCCAGCCACTTGGATGCTTCCCTCCAACACCGCAGAATGGAAATAATTGAATTGAATTTGCCTCACTGCCGAAGCCTGCTCCACTCTGCTGGAGGCAGCACCATCAGTCACGTCCTAATTGAGAAACCTCAGGATTCATTTACCCGCCCTCCCTGCCCTCACAGCCAGAGCAGCCAACCTGGCAGCCGTCTTCGGGTGCAAATCTGTCCTCAGATTTCGTGCCCTACTGAGACGTTTCTCACTGCTGAAAACACTTCCGTGTCTCTCGGCCACACAAGTCTTTGCTGTTGTGGGAGCAAGTGGATAGCTCGATGATACACAGAGAAGTAGCTCTGTTCTGCCTACAGAAAGTACGTGGAAGGCAGGAACTGAGAAGTTTTCAACAGCAGCAATGAGGAAAATTTGTAAGAGGAAGGCGAGGGCTGGAGCCAGGAGCCTGCGGATGACTGACAGGCTAGCCGACAATGGCTGGCGTGTTTGTAAATTCCCACATATAACAGCAACATTCATGTCGTTTCTCCAGACAGAACAGTGGCAAGAGAACAGAATGGCTTCTAAGCAGCTCTTCTAACTGGAAGCATCTTTTGCATAGATGTTAATATCTGCAAACTTATTAAAGCTAGCTTATCTCTCTGACAGATATGCAAAGTAGAAAACCTGCAAGATAGTCATAAATCACCAGTGATGCTGAACTCCTAAAGGAAGTTGTCTAAAGACCAGAGAGGGAAAAGGATACAGGAGATGCAAAAACAAATTCACTACAGGAGCATCGGTGGACTGCTTATTGATGTTACTCAAGTTCACACAATCAGACCAACTAAGCTGGGTCCTAGTCCACAGAGATGAGTCTAGATGTGTTTTTCTTAGCTGTTTCCCTTCTACAGCTCAGGCTATGAACACACAGTGGCATACTGTGACAGACTTTAAAGTCCTGACATCAAGGAAGAGAATATAGCCATTGGAGTCAGTTATGCTACCATCTCTTGAGACAGTGAGCATAACAGGGATGTGTCCTCACTTTAGACCTAGGAGGGCTCTAAGCAGAATGCATGCTGAAGGAAGAGAGTGGTGGGCAAGAGCCCTACAGTGCAGAGAGGAAGCATCTGCAGGAGCACAGGGCTGTTCCAACTCACTGTGCTCTCCAGGGTCTTTCGGGTGCAAAAAACTGTCTTGCTAAACATGGATGAAAAGATCACCTCTAGAATGCAGTTCATTCATTGATTTTAAAAAGAAAAAAATCTAAAAGACATGGTAATCTCAAGTGCTATTTTGGCCATCTGTGGTTGCTCACACTGACCATCAGCCCAGTTCTTGGACATACACAGTCAGTTCTGAACCTACCACTGAAGTTTCAGAATCACTAACTAATCACACCTACTTAATGCCTGCCAGAAAACAGTCCAGGTAACTTATCTCCAGCTTCCTAGGCCCTGGGATAAATTTCCAGGTATTAACACTGACTCAGAAGGTGTTTCCGACTAGAATACCGCTGAGAAGCCAACTTTTTCTGCATGAAAAATATTCAAATGATCATCTATTCATTAATTCTTAAACTTTGTCTTCTGTGGGACTTTTGTAGACTCTGTTGACAGCCTATTTAGTCCTAAAACTTTACCTTTTCATTTCCACAAAGACTGAAATGATTTTTCCCCCTAGGGTCTTTGGGATGAAATGAAGAAAGCGTATGTCTCCTTTTCAAAGCGGCAATTAGAATTTAAGAGACCAATATTTTTAAATATGGCTCTAGTTCCCAGCTCCTTGTCCTCCAGGAACCAATTAATTGTCACCTCCAGAAAGGAAACCCTTCCTCAATCCTTTGCCAGTCTGACCATCTGGTCCGTGGCTGCATCCCTCTGAAAGTCTCTTTCTCATTGATAAACTAGAGATGGCAGTTCCCACCCAGAGACTCACAGAACAAGCTCATGGGTGTGTGCCCCATACCCCACAACTCCCTGTGCAGAGCAGCCTTTGCTCTGCATTTGAAAAGACGGAATGAATGAATGAACCGGCTACCTCCAAACAGCTGGGCTGCTCTTGCAGCTTTGAAACCAGAGCACTCATTCAGGAAATACAGCCATTCAAAAGACACACTGGTCATCTAGACGCGGGGAAGATGGATTTTTCTGGGGGAGATGTGCCTTATGGGTGGAATGTAAGAAACCATTGCTTTTCTAGACAGGAGGTTATGTATGGTCCTACTGTCACAGCCCAAAAGATCGGGAGTCGGGGAAGGATAAGTTGCATGGAAACTTTAGAATTTGCCCTGCAGGGGATTTTTTCCCCCTGCTGGTTCTGATAGTACCCTGAAAGGAAATATGACACTGAAGTAACCCCTAGAGTCACATCAAGTAGCCACTAAAAATAGGCTCGCTCTGGATTACTAGAAATTGAGTAGTGCCTAAGAGGTTTAAGGCTTTTGATTAACATAAATGCCCAAGGCTCTGTAATTCTTTAATTTGTGAGCCACGGGTCCTTCAGAACACATGAAGACAGGATGAGTACGCAGCTCCTCAGAAACCAGGAGTCAGCTTGTTCCTGCACAGTACCTATATATAGCTGCGTGCTCTTGCTATCCCTCTCCTGGGTGAGCTCACCACACGAGTCCCTAACACTGTTCACACAACCTCGCTGGAAGAAACACCTGTCCTTCCACCCATGGTTCCCTGGGAACTTCAGTCAAGTCTCTGGAGAAGTAGGGCATCCCACTTGGATTTTAGAACGCTAAACTAAAATCCAAAGCCCTGGCCTGAGCAGAGGCTTACAGAGCCTGGACTCTGAAAACCTGCTGAGGTGCAGACGCCAACGTGGGAAGAGCACTGCTCCAGGGGCCACACCAGCAGGTCTTAGCAAAGAGCTAAGAGGGGCAACTAGACCCCCCCTGCAGGCTCTCTGCAGCCCGCTTTGTCCCGTTGTATCAGTTTCTTGGAGTCCACGATCTTGTTTAAAAGCTGCTGAAACTGAGGAGGCTCAAACCTTTTGGGCAGCAGATCTGGGACACACTGCTGCCTGCGAGGCGATTGATCGGAGGCCGAGCTGCAGCGCCCTTGAAGGGAAGTCCCTCTACCCAACTTCTAGACAGGAACCGCAAACTCTCCCCAGCACCTCCCAAACTCTTGAGTTAACTTTCTTGAGCCACAAATGATGTTGGAGCAAGCTGAGACAAAGTGGAGTAGAGAGGGAAAGAGAACAGAGGAGCAGGATGCAAGGCTCAGTCGGGGGACAGGCAGAGCTGCCTCAGAGCCCGCCCGAGGGCGCTCCCCACTCACCTTAGCATAGCAAAAGCAGATGAGAAGTAAGGGCAGCAGGTAGCCAAAGATGAAAGTGCACACCGTGTAAGCCTTCTTGTGGAGCTGGTTGGGCCAGTGCTCCCAGCAGAAGGTCTGGTTGTTGTCCCGATAGAAGAGGCGCTGGTGGTAGGCCACTGGCGAGGCCATGGCAATGGACAGCGCCCAGATGAAGCCCACGCCCAGCAGCGCATTGCGGGACACCCTGAGGGAGGAGGAGCGCCGCGAGTGCACAATGGCCACGTAGCGGTCCACAGACATCGCGGCCAAGGTGAAGATGCTCACGAGCATGGACACAGTGAAGAAGTAGTGTGTAAACTTGCAGATGAAGGCGCCCAGCACCCAGGTGGGCAGTGCGTACACGGTGGCCTGGAAGGGGATGCAAAAGAGCAGGTAGGCCAGGTCTGCGATGCTCAGGTTGAGGATGAACAGGTTGGTGGTGCTGCGCGGCTTACCCGGTTTGCTGCGCGCCAGCACAGTGATCACCAGGCTGTTGCCCAGCACGCCCATCGCGAAAATCAGGCCAAACACCACCAGCGTGATGAAGTTCTCCACGCCGATACCTAACAGCAGCCTGGACTCCGCGGTGGGAGGCTCTGGATCGCTCCCGTTCCCCTCGCTGAGGTTCAATGCAGCCAGCTCCATCACTTACTGGAACACCCCTTGGGTGTCTACGCAACGGATCGTGCTGGGAAGGAGCGCCAGGCAGAGAAAGCTGGCTGGAGGGGTAGCCGAGGATCACTGAGTGATCCAGAACAGAGCAGCGAGAGTGGATGTCTCCAGCTAGAAATCTCCGGCACCCGACAAGAGAACAGGGGGCAGCGCCCCAGGCCGTGCGTGGTAGAAATGTCCTCTGTGCCCGGCCTGGCTAAAGAGGGGGCGGTGCTGCAAGTACGGAGTTGAGCCTTCCCATGCGTGGGCGGCAGGCTCCAGAACACCGGAGGTACCGGTCTGGGCGACTCGACTCGGGTTGCTAGCAGTCCGCGAGCTGGGCGGGTGGGACTCGTCCAGGCGACCCGCAGGTGGAGAATCTTCTGCGCCTTGCTGGTTTTAATCCCTTGCCGGCCGTGTCCCCTCGCTCCAGCAGGGCTTTGGGGTCGCACCTGTTGCTCTGAGTCTCTTCCAGCCGAGCTCCCAGAGCCCTGTGGTACACACCTTGGAGAGCGGAGAGAGTCGCAGAGCTTCCCACACCTCCCTGCCGCGCTGGCGCTGAGACTGCCTTCTCCCAGGTCCTCTGCAGGGCGAGCCTCCCTCGGGGTTCCCACTGGCGGGCAGAGTTTCTGCAGTACGGGAGGGACAGTGAGGACTCAACTGCGTCCCCCTCTGTGCCTATCGGGTCTGGCCGAAAAATCACAGCTTGCTCTCCGAGCCTGGGCGCCCTCAACCGGATGGGTGGCAGCCCACCTCCTTGCTGGAACTGGAGCGCCGTTCTCAGTGCAGTCCTCCTGGTCCCGCAGGGCGACTGTTGGCACCGAGAGCTAAGCTGAGTGCGCGCTCCTGTGCGCAACTGGCTGAGGCGACAGGCTGCGCAGCCTTTCTGCCAATTGGTACCTTCGGTCTTTCCCGCTCCCAGCAAGAGCAGAAATAAACCTTACGAAAATCAAAGGCTGGCCCTGCTACGGAGGTTCTGTGACATCCGCTGGCTCCCCGCGCCCCTCCCTCATCCAGTAACAAGCTAGGGAGGGAAGAGGCAGGGATGAAAGAAGCACCGCCTGCCTGAGTTTTCATTAAGAGCCTGTCCTGCGCTCACCTCGGGGATCAATCATTTCCACCAGACATTACTCATCTGAGTGACACAAACGGAAGCCTTGACAATGCTGGGTTTGTAAAGAGTCATGTGAGTGCGTGGAACGTCCACCACTGCTGAAACCAGGGCACACCAACGAGAAACAGCTGATTATCTGGTAGTACGCATCTAAAGAAAAACCTGCCTTTTGCATGTACTCGGTGTAGGTAGGGAGTAACTACATCACTTTCAAATATGCCAGCGTCCTCCAGTGTGTGAGTGACCATGACCGCTGGACCCAAGGCCCAAGGAAGAGTAAGCACAGAAGGCAGCGTGTTCCTGGAGAAGCTCTGTGCCCAGGAGATTGGCAAGTGGCACAGTCCAGGGCTTCAGGAAAGTGGGCACAATGGTGAGGCCGGAGCTGCTTTACCTCGGGGAGTCTGCAGACAAGTGCGACCTCATTTCTCGCCCTCGCCAGCTCTCTTCTTCCATGCGGCTTGGGATGCTCTTTTGCCATGCATTGCATACCTGCTAGTTCTTTGCTCCTCTGCTTACTGCATGGCGCTCCCTCCCTTACAGGAAGACTTTTGTCCCCGTTTTGTGGAGGACCGACCGGAATTGTCAGTTGTTACTGGCATTCATCTAGGCTTCCCAAAACCATCCTTGCCCGCACTCGGAGGATGGAGCGACGTGATCGGTGGTCTGGCCTTTCTCCCCAGCATGCTCTGCAGTCTGCAGCTTCATGGTGCTCTGTTCTGGCCTTAGCTCTGCTTTAAAGGTCATATGTCATAGGATTTGGGGGAGTGGTTTAGCCTTGGGGTTTCTATTTTGTTCTGTTCTGGTGTGTGTGTGTGTGTGTGTGTGTGTGTGTGTGTGTGTGTGTGTGTAATCACTCTACCAGTGATCAATATCCCCAGAAAGAACTTACAGGGATTATAGGGATTTGGGTTTTGTTTTCTTGTAATGTAGACTTTTCATTAATTAATTACTAGTGATGTGGGGGGGGGGGGTGCTGGCATTCATGGTGGCCAGAGGAAAACTTTCAAGAGTTGCTTCCTACCTTCCACCACGGGCTCTGGGAATAGAACCCGGGTCAACAGCTCTGCCTGGGACATGCTTTTACCCACTGAGCCGTCTCCTCAGCCCTCTATGGATTGTTTTTGACGTGAGGGGTAGATAATGAGATCACATCATACCCACAAGTGCACCTCCCAGCTTAAAATGCTTAAAAACTTACCAATATCCTTGAAGTCACTTCATATACTGTCTAATCACAAGCTCCACCACAGCCCCCTTACTGTGTGGTCCATGGCTTATTTCCAAATGTACACGTGATACATGCCTATGTCCTTAAAGGGTATCCTGTGGTGGGGACTTGGGGTTTCATTTTGGCTTTAGTGTGAGATACGGTTTGCATGGTGATCTACATGTTGTCTTGGCTTGCCTTTGGCAGGTTTCATCTGCCCTTGTTTAGATGAGCCATGTCTTAGTGGATTGCATCTGTCCTCTGTCCTTTTGCTCTCCTGCCCCACGCTGTGATATCTTCAGAGCAGGACATAAATGAGAGACTCAAATCCAATGTGCCCATCTGTTTCCTAACTGGTGAGTTTGGTCCATCTCTGTTTGCTGCTGTCATGGATCCAAGTGAGTTAGTTTGTTGACATTCCCTGGACACTTGGCATCTCTGTTCTGTTTCCTACAAGCTGCTCCCTCTGCTGTTCTTTCACTGGAATGTTCTAGAACCCCCTCCAGAGACCTTTCTCCTGACTTCTGCAAGATTCTGCTCCAAGGTCAGCTTCTCATGGGGGGAGAGGGGGTTCTCCTGACCATCCTAACGTCATTTCACTCCCAGGTTACTGTGTTTCCGGCCTTGCTTCCTTCCCCTCCACAGTCTTTGTCCCATGTCATATTATCGTGTTAGAATTCTTTATATGCCTTATCCATAATAGAGATGGGGTTGACAATCATGAAGCTGGATGGGTTAGTCTTGAACAATGCAACAGCTCAGCGCTGGATACCTGAGTGTGGAGCTGCCATCTGTCCATTCGTTAATGGAAATCACAGTCCATGGTTGTTAGGACTCACTCCCACAGCTCGGCTCAGAGCAGTGAAGACTCCTCTAGCTCGCCTGGCTCTGTAGCCCAGCTGCTTTGTGAACTCCGCTCTGCTGGAGATCACCACTGCACAGCCAAAGCCCATTGTCTTTTCCCAGAACTTGTAGCTGGCTGCCTTTGCCTCCCCAACCCATCATCGGCCCATGGGAAGCCCTTCTCCCTCCCTCGGTCAGAGAACAGACTTCAATTCTTCTTTTAGAGGAAGGCACTGGTGGGAAGCGCTTGGCCCTTATTATCCAGGCACACTCCACCCAACAGTTCTTTCCTCGGCCCCAAGAAGTTGGCTCTCTGCCCTCCGTCATGCTTTGTGGGTGATTTTCCTTTTCTCTCCATTTTTTTTTTAAAAGATTTATTTATGATGTATGCAGTGTTCTGCCTGCATGTATGTCTGCAGGCCAGAAGAGGGCACCAGATCTTATTACAGATGGCTGTGAGCCACCATGTGGTTGCTGGGAATTGAACTCAGGACCTCTGAAAGAAACAGCCAGTGCTCTTAACCTCTGAGCCACCTCTCCAGCCCCCTTTTCTCTCCATTCTGTTGCCCTCTTTTCACCACGGGTGTTTTAGGACTTGCTTCAGTGCTTGTGATGGTATTTATTTTTCACCCCCCCCCCCCAAGTTTCTGGAACTAAGGAGTAACATTTTTTCATCAGTTCTAGAAAATTTTTGGCCATTATCTCTTTGGATGTTGAGTTTCCCAATTCTTGCTCTTCTGTCCTGGATTTCTGCAAGACCCGTGCCTCTCTCCTCTGTCTCTTAGTCACTTGATCTCACCTCTCATCTCTCCTCTGCGCCACTTTGCTGCTGGCTCTCAGGCCACCAGCAATCCATGTCACTGCTGCTCTTGAATTCCAGTAGATGTTTTCAACAAATATACCAGGACTCGTCTTTTTTATAATATTTTTTCTCATTATCTATGTTTCTAAGTGCCCTTCTTATTTATTCGGGTACTTTTGATGCAATAATTTTATATTCTTTGTATCACAATATCTGAACACTTTGAGGCCTGATATGTGCCTGTCGTTTCTCCATAGGTTGTATTTGTGGATCCTGTTTGCAGTTTGTTTGATTTTTAATTTGTCATTGGGTTTTTATCCTGCTAGATCATATCTGTGGGGACTTTAAGAACTCTGAACTCTGAGTACACATTTCCATAAAACTGTGCTCAACTCAGGACATAGGATGACTTAACATGGCTGCCTCAGGACACACAAGGAGAATTCTACTCTAGAGGAGCACAAGAGCCCAGACCCCAGAGGAGAGCCCGTCCCTTCCTCCTGTCTCGGAAGGCCAGCGCAGCTCCCACGGTTTCCTGTGATAGTTTGCTTCTCTTGCTGTCTCTCCCCCACTTTTTGAGGTTCTCTACCCTCATTCTCTGAGGGTCCATGAGCTCCATCGGGGGCAGAAATTAGTCACACCCACTCCCAGCAGGCTTTGCTCCACTCAAGGAGCAACTCCCAAGCTTAACGTGGAAGGATCATTTTTCAGTCTCATAAAGGGTCCGCCACCATGAACAATTTTCCTGCACGTGGTGACATTTTACCTCAGTAACAGGTCAAGTCAAGTACAGCCACAAAGGCTTGCTTCTTGTTCATGCAACATTTAGCCTTGGGCTGGCTAAAATTCTGTTCATTCTGTAGCACCCGTTCTACGTGAATGTGCTATCCTCCAACCATAGAATGCCAGCCATAGCATCTCACACCATTCATAAGCTCACGTGACCTCAGGGCAACCTTGTCATATGCCTCTAACGCCTTAATTAATTAGTTAGTCATTGTGAGGCTCCCTTCTTTCGGAGTGAAATGCAGGAAACTCAGAAGGAGGGAGGAATGCACTGCATAGCTTTTCTGAAGTAGCATGTCTTACCTCAAATGTGTGATGAACACACCCAAGAAAGCACACAAATCATAATGCTACAAGTCAACAACTGTCCGAGTGTCCTGTAAAGGTCACTGAGAGCTGTACTTGCACATCACCCCCCCCAAAAAAAAATGCCAGGTGCTTCACAGTGGGGACTTGAAATTCAAGCACGTAGTGACACAAACATCTACAAAGCAGAAAGCAAGACACCTCCCAACAATGTGGTCTCCTCCGTAGCACCCTTCACACTCTCTCATCAGGCAAAAGAAAATATTTTTTTAAAGCTTGAGGACAATTTTATTAAAATTTGAGAGAAAAAAAAGCAGGACAGTCAGGCTGTAAAGCATGGCAGTGGCCTGAAAGACAGGAAGAAAATCGCGCCTTTTAAGCCAGGGTCCAAGAGAGTCTGCTGGACTCCGCAATGGAGCTTGGTGAGCAGCTGCAGGGCAGGAAAGGGTGGAGGGTACAGCTTCAGAGAGAATAAGTGAGAAGACCCAGAGCATCGGAGAAAGCATGCCCTGGCTTTAACTAGTATCCGAAAGAAGTGGATGAAAAGGACGAGGTCTTCTGAGTTAGGAAAGGCAGGCATGCCAGCAGCACAGTCCTCTTCGCAGGTGGGCAAGCAACTGCCCACCGTCCTCATAACAAGCATCGTCCCTCCGCAACACCAGCAAGCCAGGCCCTGACTCCTCTCCACTGAGATGAATACAGGGGACCGGCAGGTGTTGCGTAGTCTTTCCAGCACAGTGTGGCTTCACCCACACGGTACGATGCCCCCTGCAGCACGGCACTGACTTCCAGCTAATTAAGATGAAGAAACAGCTATCTTCCACTTACATAAGCGATATTTTTATCTTCGATGGTCTTTTGAAACAACTTTTTTTTTCTTTGACTTTTGTATCTTCTTCCTTTAAAGCCAATGTGAGTTCCAGGGTTTAAAGAGAACGGCAGCTCTCATCTGTCCAATTATCTCCATGAACGTACTCCCTGTCTCCTCTGTTCCGTCTCCAGCTTTGCACTACGGTAATTGGTGGGGTGGGGTGTAATCTTTGACCCCAGGA